CAGCCCCGGGGCCGGCGGCCGCGTCACAGCCTTGTCTGCGTCCGGGGCTGGTCCTTAAAGGGGAGGGTCAGAAGGGCGGGGCTTGGGGAGGCGTGGGTGTGGGGGAGGAGGAGGCCTTAAAGGGGAGGATGCAAGGCGCTAGAACCCACAGGGCGGTGGCTGAGGCTAGGGGCTGGAGCCTGGGGGACAGGGAAAATCCTGGTTCTTAATCAGGGCCACAAATGGGAAGAGGGAGGTGTATAAAAATAGCTATATAATTCAGGTAGAAAATCCACTTCTCAGATTGCCTGTATCTTTTAGACAACAGCAGCGACTTGGGAGATGGATTGTATTTTGAAGGAGAGGGATGACTACTAAGTGTCCAGTCTGGAGACACACCAACAGTGAGCTGGAGTTACAGGTGCGGGGCAAATACACATTAAATATTTTTTTGACTTGGGCATGTTCCTCTGAGTTTTGAATTTCTTTTCTCATAAATTTACTGCTTTTCAGTAAAGATTTATTGTTATGTACCATCAGCACTTTAGTGAGTATAACTTTGAACATTTTTTCACGTAAATAACTAAACAGGACACAGGGTAAGAAGAAGATGGGTTGAGATTCAGTCAGCCTGAATTCCCACAGTATTTACCACTGACCTGCTATGTGATCCTGAACCAGCCTTGCACCTCTGGGGAAGAACAGCAATACCTTTCCATAATGGTGTGGAGAGAATCAAATAAAATAATGTAATAAAAGGGGAAGAGCTGAGGAAAGAGTTCTGACTTCCACATGGACAAATTAGTTCCTGAACATACGCTGTAAGAAGTGGGGGCCGGGGAGGGGGGGGTGTTGTTTGTTTGTTTGAGACAGAGTCTCACTTGCTTGCCACCAGTAGAGTGCCTTGGCATCATATCTCACAGCAACCTCAAACTCTTGGGCTCAAGGGATCCTCTTGCCTGAGCCTCCCAAGTGGCTGGGTCTACAGGTGCCCGCCACAATGCCCAACTGTTTTTTTCGGAGACCTAGTCTCACTCTTGCTCAGGCTGGTCTCAAACTTCATGAGCTCAATGGATCCATCTGCCTTGGTCTCCCAGAGTGCTGGGATTACAGGCATGTACCACTACACCTGACTAGAGAGCGGGTATTTTTGAAGAAGCCTACTTCTTGTCCAGGTTAAGGATCTAGCTGGACCAATAGCATGGCCCTATTCAAGGGAGGGGATTGTGGAGGCCCCACTATAAGCTGCCCTAGGGTCTCTATACACATTCTGAAGGGGATAAATCCTGCTGACCTCCTCCTCCCTCTAACTGGCAGTGCACTTGAGAAATAAGACAAAGGAAGCAGATAGGTGAGGACAAAACCTCAACTCAATTACTGATAAAGCAGAATTAGAGAATGAGGCTTGACCTATGGCCGCACATGGCCCCTCGTATGTTCCTCCTAAAACTCTAGACAGAAGAAAGTATTTAGAGGAAGGAGTCCTTGGCGATGGAGCCTAAGTGGGTAAGGCATAAATGCTAGAAGCCACTTGTTCTGCAGGGAGGCAGGAATGAAGCAGGGGAGTGAAGGACAGGGGTGTCCATACCACAAATACTCACTTTTTCCCCTCTTTTTCTAGAGATGAGTCTTGCTCTATGGCCCAGATTGGAGTGCAGCCTCCAACTCCTGGGCTCACGGAGTCCCGCCTCCTCATCCTCCCCAGTAGCTGGGACTACACGCACACATTACTACATCTAGCTATTTTTTTTTTTAATTTTTTGTGGGCTAGTCTCAAACTCCTGGCCTCAAGTAATCCTCCCAACCTTTGGGGATTCCAAACATGAGCCACCATCCCCAGCCCCTCTTTTCAAGTAGCATTTATTTAGTACTCTATAGAAAGCACCATGCTCAGCCCTGCCATGGTACATGGCGTTAACCTGGTGGGGAAGAAGATAGACAGGTAGCAATAGATGGCACCGCAAGAGTGGCAGAGCCACACCTGGGTGCCCAAGGCAGAGGGATTCACTGTCCACAGCAACAGAAGCTTCCTCTTAGAGAACATATATGGTTAAACAGCTACGGGAACTCCCCTGGATATTCAAGAACAAAGACACTACCTAAGACCACAGGGATTGGAAAACACCCTCACCTTACCAGTTCTATAGTATTGCTGTCACCTTGCCAAAACACACAAAGGAGATGCTCAAGGACAGAGAGGAATGCAGGAGTGAGGAGGGGGGAAGCTCCAACTGCTCAGGCTCTTTCTCAGGTGGAGGGGGGTCCACGGTCTGGGGCTGCTCAGGGGTCTGATTCATCCATTTTCTTTGCAGAGGGTCCCTATGGCTTCTCTCTACAAGGCGAGAAAGATAATAAAATCCTTCTGCCTTTTCAGGGACAGCGAGGCACAGTGGGAAAATGACAGAGTCTGAAGACAAATAAGCCAAATCCAAGTTTGTCCTCCAGCTGAGTTACCTTGAGCAAGCTGTTTAATCTCTCTCTGTATCCAAAAAAATGAGAAAGAGAATAAACTCTACTTTCAGAGTTGAATGAGATAGTATGTATGAGAACTCTCCTTAAAGAACATACCGTTAACTACCATGAACTACCAAGTATCACCACTATTCAGACATGGCTGTTTTGCTCTGCTCTGTGCCCACTGCCTAGGGATCTATTCTTGATATCACAGCCACCTTCTCACCTAACTAGAGCTCTGGGGAGATGGTGAAGCCCAATGGCCTAGGAATAACAGGACAACTGAAACCTTACAGGGGTTTCCTGCTAGAGTAACAAGGGCCAAATAGAGCTAGGAAGCACACAGGAGTGCACAGGCACATACGCAGTGATTACAGAAACTGCACACACAGCACCCAGAACACACACACGTATACGAACACGACACACAAGCCTGATATGTCTGGTCTGTAGCAGAATGAATGCCTAATAGAGGAATAGCTAAGGATGAAGAAGAGCTGAAGGAAGAGATCCTGTGTCTTCTTTCCATTCGGATACCAACTCACTGTGTAACCCCATGAAAGTCCCTTGCCCCACCCCCAGTTCCTTCTTTCTCATCTATAAAACAGTGACAACAACAGCCCTGCCTGCCTTGTAGGTCTAACTGTAAGGATAAAATAAAATATTTTTCCACAGGACACAGAAGTCCAAAGTCCTATTTGTATAACACTAACCTCTCAGCCATCTGTAATGAACTTCTTAATCAACTGATTTTATGGATGTGTAAAGTGGTTCAAAAGTTGTAAGTCTATGCAAATAGAAAGTACTCATTTTGTCTAGTATTTACATGCAAACATATATCTCATGCTACATATTACACACTAAGTCAATTTAAGGACTTCCAGTACGAAGAATTGCATTAATTATAATCCTCTATTCATGAGACACCCTCATCATTGGAGCATTGATCCATAGGTCCCCAGTTTTATTTAGTTAGTTAAGAATTATTTTTAATAGAGCAATAAGCACTGTGACCCATTGCTCAACATAAAAAATTAGGATTTTGACAATAATACACATCTAACTAGAATCAGGGTTGTCCAACCCGAGGCCCAGGGGCCACATGTGGATTATATGAGGACTTTTTTGCTTATCTGTTGTGGTGGCTATCACAAAAATTATGCATGAAATGTGTGTCAGCTTTCATCAGTGTTAGTGTATTTAATGCGTGGCCCAAGATAACTGTTCTTCTTCCAATGTACTACAGAAAAGTAAAAAGGTTAGTAGATAATCCCTACACACACACACACACACACACACACACACACAATTTCCCTGGCCCAAAACCACTACGTTCACCTTTCTGTTGTTGTCCTTTTTATATAGTTTTATTTCATGAGGACGTATTTAAAGGTATCGTAAACAATGAAGCTCAAATTGTCTTAGAAGGAAGGTAGCCAAGGGTGACTTTATCAGATAGATGAAGTTAAAGCAATAAAACACCTAGTCACAGTTTCAAAGTATTCCCTGCCTTCTCATGATGGTGATAATGAAGATAATGACGATGATGATCAAGGGCTTCCTCTGGGGCCAAGCTTGTGTTCATCTTTCCACCTGCATTGTCTCATTTACATCTCACAGGCTTCTGCGGCTGAGATTGCTAGTTGCGTTGGCCCATACCTGTTTTCCTTCCCTTTGATGATAAAGAACCCTCAATATTTAGCCAAGCACATGACTGCCTGGAATACATATTGCATTTCCCAATTTTATATAACAGCTAGTTATACTAAGTTCATGATACTAAGTTCTAGCCAATGACTTATAAATGGAAGTGGTCTGGGGGAAGAAGAAGGTACTTCTCTTTCTCCTTCTCTTTTCTCTTTCCTACTAGCTGGAAGAAAATTTTAATGCTGAGCTTGAGCCACTATCTTGATCACGAAGTGGAGGCCATAGGTTGGAGGATGAAGAGCAAAAGCACAGAAGGAGTCTGTGTCCTGGGGAGCACGGATCCATTATATCAGCCCTGACCTACTTACCCAGACTTTTATATGAGACATGAATGGTCTTCGTGTTGAAGCGACTGATGTGTGGTTTTCTATCACTCACAGCCAAACCTTGTCCTGACTGTTACACAACCCTATAAGATATGCAGTGTTATCTTCATCTATCTATTGCATAAAAGAGAAAACCGAGTCCTAGAGAAATTAAATAACTTTCCCAGGGTCACTCATCCAGCAAGGACAGGACATAAGTCTTTCTGACCCAAAGCCCAGGATCATGCCCCCTACTATTAATCTTGAGCAGACATACACCCACATATCCATCTTGATGTCAAAATATGGTACCTACCGTTTCTGGTACCCTCCATTTT